TCTAATTTCCGAAAAATGGCGCGGCGGTCGCGCATGAGCTCGTTAATTTTCTGCACGCTTTTTCCGCATTGCGTGCGCAATTGCGTCGGAAAGCGGCGCGGAGTCGTCGCGCGGAGAAATTCGCGGCAGTATCCATGGTTACGGGCGTTGATCGCCGGCCCGCTAGGCGGAGGCGGCGTGCGTGACTAATTTGACACCCCGTAGATATAGGTGCGCCTAACCCAGACAGTCACCTGCGATTCGTGCCGGCCTCGTGTCGGCGCTAACGATCACGATTTGGCCCCCTAATAAAACCGAATTAAACGCGCCGCCATGGAACAACCAGGCAGCAACGAGGATGGCTTTCCCTTCATCCGATAGCGCGCGATCTTGCTAGTAATAGTATAGTCGAATCTTCGATGATACATGTATCATTTTAATAATCGTCGAAATGACGATTGGCTGTTGTTGCGTTCGCGTTAGAATCGATCTAATTGCTAATCGTTCCATTCAGTGACTATTTTGTGATTTTTTTCTCGAATCGTGAACACGAGAAATCTTCCACGAACGAACGGTTTCTACAATGTTAAAGATCAAACGATCCCTTTCTTGACTCGTTCGCGCGACGAGTTATCGTTCGAAACGAGGAGGGGAAGGATTAGACTATCGTACTAAACGTGGCATACGAGAAAATAGTTGTAGAACGACGCGTCTCTTGTCTTTGAACCCGGGTTTCCATGCCTACGTGACGGTAAATAACGTCAAGCACCGTGGAAGCCCCTTTTATTTCGTACACACGTTCTTCTTGCTTCCTGGTAAAGATGATTTTCTTGCTTCTTGCAACTAACCCGTTTTCACCCTCCTCCTCTTTTCTTGCGTCAACAATTTCGCGTACGTGGATTCCAGCAATTTCGGTGTATCGCCGATACGAAGCCCGCGAATTACTTCCGCATGATCGTGGAAAATATTTTTCGAGCGTAGACGCGTGGCGTGGGTTCCGATTTTCTTTGTAAATGGAACGAAAACAGGGAAGATCGGTTTTAAATTGCGCTCTCAAAAGCTTTCAGAAACGATTGCAGCCTCGATATTAGTTTCACGTCCCTCCGCCCAGCCCCGCTGCGCCTCCACCCCCTTGCTACCCACGCCCACCTATCGCGCTCGACGAATGTATTTCTCGTCGTAGGCGAGACCGGTTTCAAATTCTTCCGCGGTTCGGTGTGTGCGAGCGGACGAAAAAAATTGTAATCGAATTGGAGTATTTTTCCAATTGGCAATCGTCGAACGGCCGAGCGCGTCCAACGATCGACCATTCGGCCGCGGTGAATTCTTTCTCTCTTTTTTGCTCCCTCCCTCTTTCTCTCTCTCTCCAAATTAGTTGGCCTACCGCGAAAAATCAATCTGCCCGCTTTTTTCCGCCCGTCTCTTCGTGCCTTTTCCACGACGATTGTCGATTCCATTCTCTCTCTCTCTCTCTCTTTGTTTGCTCGCTTCGTGAAAATACGCCGGCCATCGATTCGAGTTCCCCGCGGCGAAATGTCACAGCTCCGCCTCGTCGCGATTTCCTCGCGCGCAACGTTTTCTTAGATAATGAATTTCCGTGGATAGATCCTTTTTACTTCCCCTAACTTCATCTCGATATAATTTTTCTTCGATGATACGCAATAGTCGAACGGACGAAGACATGGAATGTGACACGGAACGTTTACACTACAAAAGCGAATTGCGCTTTTTAAAATATTCGCTTATCCTCCGTGATTGTACACCGATCAGCAGGTGTTTTGCTGCAAAGTTAATTTCGACGAGTGGTTTCAAGCTCGCCCTTATATCGATTTCAGTTCTCAGCAAATCGTCGCGTTATACCACGTTTCTTTTTTTTAGACGAACTTACGATCGCGTGACGGCAAACGCGCGTCGACGATGCGCTTAATGGTATAATGGTACTATGGTGAAATTTCGTTATTCCCTGGTTAAGTACGCGAAAGAGGATAAATTATCACGCGGCGAGTTGTGAAAGTGTGTTTCGATCGAAGGGAGAAGTGCCGTTTTCGCCTTCCGGTTCATCCGATTTCGATATCGAATTTTTTATCCATTCGTTTCCCGCACACGTTTTTTCATTTACATCATCTAGCATCTATTTGAAAATTTATTCCTTTTTTTTTTTTTTGAAAATTCCATTCCCTTCGTTCTTTCATTCCCTTCTTTCTTTCTTTCGCAGGATTCGATTCGATTTCGAACGTTAACGCATCCATTCTTTTAAATTAACCAAGTTTCGAGAACTCGGTACAGGGGAATCGAGATGTGATCGAAGAACCGGAAACATAGATATTAAAGAATATAAGTAATTACAATCCACGTAACGTTCCACAAACGAGCCTCGACGATTCTTTTCCTTTCGCAAATCGATTAACGAACACGGTGCATTGAAAACGATGCGTAAACCTGAATTACAATAACGAGCTTAACAAGCAATTCGACGTTTCGATATCGGCCGAGGCGGTGCTGTATATCCAATAAAATCTCCGCACTCCGAGGACGATAATTATCGCGAGAAAACAGTGTTAATCCCCGCAATCAATCTGCCTGTGCGCGTACGTGTATCTACACGCATAGACGCGTATAATATCCATAGACGAGCGTTTGTGTGTATATTTTGCGCCGCGCGTACGTGTGTGTGTGTGTGTGCATATACTCGAGGCAGAGGATGCATGAAAATCTGGAAAACGCGTTTTCCCGGGTCACACAATCGGGCTACGGTGACCACCGACCGGACCCCTACCACCGAAACAACCCGGTTTGTCCAATAAAAGCTCCGTTTCCCTTCGCTATCATCCCCTTCCACTCCTCCGCAAAACCATCTCGTCGAGCGGCCTAATAAATCCGACAGATAGGATTGGCGTGCGCTATCAATTAAAAATGATGAAACCGAACGTGCGTCCGCCTCTTCGTTGCGCCTACCACCGAGCAACCACCGCCGTTCCTCTCCCTTCCTCCTATCCTCCCATCCTTCTCCTTCGCCCCCCTCGACTCGCAGCCTCGCGGCTCATTCCTTCGCCTTGTCTGCTCGCGTAATAAGCTTAAGCGATTAGGTGTACCTTAGGGGCGAGCTGGCATTTCCCTTCTTCCATCCTTCTTCTCCTCCGTTTCCTCCTCTTTCCGCTCGGGAGAAGTAGCGAAAGGGGCGGCGGAGAAGATGGAAGGAGAGAGAGAGAGAGAGAGAGAGAGAGAGAGAGAGAGAGAGAGAGAGAAGGGAGAAGGATGGAAGGAGAAAGGTCGGCGAAATTCTTTTGGAGAAAATTGAAAAAAGTGGCATGGTGGCGTGCATGGCAAGTTTTAAACGCAATTTAAATTTTTAATTGCGACTCTTTCTCTCTTCTAAGCTCCCGTCATCGCGTTATCCTTGTCATATTCTTTATTCCCTCCGCACCTATCCCATCGCATCCTCCCTCGGATCCCTTTTCTCTTCGTTTCGCTACTCGCTGTTAATTTAAGATGATTTCGCCGTCGATTGAAATGGAGATGTCGCTACTTATTCCACTCTCGATGATTGTTTATATACAATTTCTCTTTTTATATGTGTCCATCAATAATGATTATAATTCGATAACGATTAACGACGAGTTTAAATTGATGTTAAAAACATTTCGAAAGGAAAAGAAGTTAAAATCGAAATGTCATCAATGCCGAAAATTTGTACGTGTTTCGATTTTTTCTCTCTCAAGTGTTTTGGGAACGAAACGAAATCATCGTCGATCGATCGAAAATCGTGGGAAAAATCGATGCCGATCGATTGAAACGATTGAAAGAAGCAGGTGCGTTTGGAAATGCGGCGTGCTGGCAGCTTATTATCCAACAAACTGCGCGCTACGTGTTCGTGTACGGGGTTTCGTAGGTGGCACGGTCGGAAAGCTTGCCCCCGGGAGCCTAATCGATGCGTCGTCGCATGCGACTGCGTGCTTTTATCGCTGTCACGCACATAATTAATTTAATTTAGTTTAATACGTCGGGGCCAGCGTCAGCCGGCGATTGCTGTTCCGATTGTTTGCACGGAAACGCTGCCATTAAACTCGGCCCGCTCGCTGGTCGCGCGCACGACACTCGTATCCGCTTCGTTCCAATGAAACAGAGGAAGGGAGGGGAATAATAAATCGGCAAATTCTCGATCGTTAGTTCCCCGATATAAGTCAATCGAGAACCCTAATTTTCTCGGATTAACGTCTTATTCTTATGTTTTTTATTTTTACATCCCTTATCTTACATCCCGTTTAATTTCTTTAACTTTTTCGATAAAATCTTTTGTTTCTGCCGTTTTTCTTTTTTTTCGAAGCCGTTTTTTCCTTCCCAATTTTTTCCGAGCGACGCATTTTTGTCAAAAGGGTGCGAAGGTGGAGAGAGAAACGTTGGATCGAATCGTTGTTTTTTTCCTTTCGGCTTTGATTTTCGCACGGAGAGCGAGGCAACGAGAGATGCCGGTTGTTCAATAAACATCGTTCGTACGTTATGGCACGGCCACGACACGTACCCTTCCATTTTTCCACTTTTCCGTTTATTCACCCCCTCCTTCCTTTTTCGCGAAATCGTTAAGGTAACAGGATCGCGCACCGGTGTCGTGAGGGTTAACGAGTTAATACCTCGTTAGTCGCGTGACTCCGTGCTCGGGTGATTATTTAAAAATGTATGAATATTTTTCGTTTTATCTCGCGAGAAAACGATCTCTCTTGGCCGATTAACAACGCGATTCCCAGACAATTATTCTTTCTAATCGTCGATCCATCGACCGAGATCTTCGATCGCGAAACCGAGTTCCTCTGTTTACGTTATCCCTCCAAATTATACGTCCATTTAATATGAAATTAACGAAAACACGTGATTTCACACATACATATAGATATAAAGTTAAACCAGATCAAGAAAAATCCTTCTAACAATCTCTTCAACCTTTCGTTTGATCTTTGACTCGAAACAAACGCCTCGATCTTCTGTCTCGATTCGAAACGAGTTTAATCAATCGTTATCCAACTCACCTGGACGCGCACTTCCGGAAGATTGACTTTCATAGCGAGCTCCTCCCTGGAGTACACGTCCGGATAATGAGACTTCTCGAAGGCTCTCTCGAGCTCGTGCAGCTGGTAAGTGGTGAAGGTCGTCCTGTTTCGGCGATGCTTCTTCTTCCCGCTGTTCCCGTTCAAATCGTCCCCGCAGCCTGCCCCGAGTTCCTCGTCGCTGCCACCGCCGGTGGAGTTGCAGCTGTTCTCACCTGGAACCCACGGGAGTGGTCAGGTCTCCTCGGAAACGATCGTTACGGTTAATAGGTACGGTAATGGTGATCGATTTATCCCAGTCCCGGCTATTACCTCTATTATACGCGTATAATGCTACCTATTACAAGTGTTGCAACGCTCATCACTCCTCCGGGTATCGATGCATCTCACCAGTTCGCGTCCAGTTTCGACATTCCCATTTATACCAATTTCGTTTCGCTTTAAGGCTATCTCCTTATTGCGATTCTTTTTTATCTTACGAGACGGATCGTGCAAGATGGAACAATTTTCGAAGTTCATTTGACTCTGTTCACATCTTTGTCCACGTACGTAAATTATATTTCTACGTGTAAAATTATTTTTTCGATTTAGAAATCTTCGTTTCAATAAATTCGGATATGGAAATGTATCGAGGAAAGAATGGAAGAAGAAGGGATAGAAACAAGATAGAGATCGATCGAATAGAAGGAAAATTTACGAGGGTATAAATTTTTTAAGAAAATTCGAAACTCTTCTGACTGAACGATTATGCTATAAAATTAGTTTATCGTTGAAAAAAAAATCAGTCGGAGTTGATTTAATCATTTACCTTACGGTATAATCGTTCGTTTATACACGTACTTTTTATCGATTTAATGACACGTCAAGTTTTTATACGAATACACGTAAAACGTATTACCATGCGGAAAGTCGCGTGAGCCGAATCGTTCGAGGCCCTTTACCAATTCCCCTTTTTCGCTTCGTTATTATTTAATCTCACCCCCTATAGCCGATTATTGATTAATACGAATTTGTAATTATTAACGGACGATTACAATATCTGTAACGGATCCAAAGCGAGCGTGCGCCAAATTGCAATTGTTGTATTTCCTCGAATCTTACTCGACTGATTAATTATCCGTTCCAATATTTACGAGGCCGTAATGAGTTTACTAAACGAGCAATTTCGAATCTGTCCGCCGTTCGAAAGTGCCGCTAATCGAATGTTGAAACGGTGGAAACCGAAACGGATGGAGGGGCACGATTATTCTTCTTTTCGATATTCGAGGGAGGTTCAACGGACGAGACAAGATTTCCACGAGAATCCGTCGCACCTTGCACGGAAAGATTGTTATTTCCGCGAATATTGTAAGTACGCGCCACGTACACGTATACACATGTTTACCGGATGTCAGAATAAAAATTGCAACATAGAGATCGCAATCTTCAAGACAGGATGCGTTAAATAATGAAAAGTTTATCTGTTTGTATATATACGAATACGTATATTATACTGCAACGTGAAAAGAGAAACCGGGGAAAGAAAAAGAGAATTTACGAGTTACGATACCTCAACTTATCGCGATAATTACATTCGTTAGAAACGTTATTTTTAATGTATAACGAATATTAACTTAGAGTCGTATCCGCGGTTAAATTACAATCTATACAATTTTGACGAAACCGATGGATTTTTATGAGGTTACAATTGATCGATTACGAGGCTCATTATCGAATGTATCGAGCAATCGAAAACGGTGCTTCGACACAGAGATACACGAGGATACGCGTGTCGATAAATTCCGTGACGCACAATCCGGCAATTTATCGTAGAAATCAACGCTTCGGTGCAATTTGCTCGATGCGATGTTCAACGCAGCGCGGCGGAAATTGAGGGGCCAGCTGTGAAAAGGGAAAAACCAGATTTTCGTTGTTTTGTAAGCTCTTTGACAATTGTCCGCCGTATTTCGATCAAAAAAAAAAGAAGAAGAAGAATCGAACGCGAAAAAAGCAACGTTGCAATGTTGCGTTCTCAACTTTCGAAATACCGATGAATAGATCCTATACAATTCCGCGTAAAGTTTTAATCATCGATGAAAATCCAAAAAGGTGTTTCTCGTGTAATTGGCTACATTTCTGATTAATAACCCTCTTCTTTTCGTCAAATTATCATTTCTCCACTTTATTACGATACAATTCCGCGTTTTAAAGTTTTAATTATCGATGATAATCCAAAAAGATGAACCCTTCTCAATTACGAAGCGCGAAGTATTTGCAATGCTGCTCGTGTAACTGGCTATTTCTGATTAAACCTCTTAACCCTCTTCTTTTCGTCAAATTATCGTCATTTCTCCACTTTATTACGATACACTTCCGCGTAAAGTTTTAATCGTCGATGAAAATCCAAAAAAGGTGAACCCTTCTCAATTGCGAAGCGCGAAGTATTTATAATGCTGCTCGTGTAACTGGCTACATTTCTGATTAATAACCGTCTTCTTTTCGTCAAATTATCGCCATTTCTCCACTTCGTTACTATACGAAACGAACGTTATCGTTATCGAGGAAGAAATTGAAGCGCGCCAACTCGTTCGAACGAGTGTTCCCGCGGCCACTCCGTTTTCGTCCGATCACACCTATCACGCCATCTACGCGGCTACCGTACAACGATCACCACGCTCTCGTACATCACCATGCTCGTTTCATATGCATATTTATACCTATCCGCTTTTGTGCGCGTACATACAAAACGCGTATACGCCGATTTCATATCAATTTCGGGACAATCAAAAAGCACCCGGGGTTTCCCGGCTGTGCCAGCGTTTAAACACAACCTCGAACGTTCTAACGCGATTAATTTAAAACGGGAAGGGAATGGAGGACTGTTTTCCGGCGTTCTTCGACCATAACCAAATTCAACAATCGAGCCATGGTATGGCCGTCCAAATGATCCTCTTTTCGCCACGGCCATCCCGACACCCCGTCGGGTATATATATTCAGCCTCTCATTAACTGCATAATTAACCCTCTCTCGCATCGCAGCGTAGCGCATTAGATCGAATTGTGGGGGGTAATCGGGTGGGCTAGTGCACACGGCTACACGGACACCTGTGCGCGACCTACACACACGCGCGCGTCTCGCGTGATGGCGTGGATCGGTATGGCAGTGTGTGCGTGAGTGTGTATACGTGCGCCATCGGCCCGGTGCTAACCAACAGCCTAATAACCTCGCCTTGCCTCGTGATTGACGCGCCTGTACCGGCTAATTATCAACAACAATCAATAATGGCCCCCGAGAGTGCCAACACCATCGTCCTCCTTCGCCCCCGGGACCTCCTTCGCCCACCCACCCTTTCTTCCGTCCATGCTACCAGACAGAGCAGCGCGCCCTTCTTCCTCCAGGCTCTGGATCGTGGAGAGCCGGTCTAAACGGAGGAGAGCAACTTCTGTTTTAGGACGCGGGACTTGTCGTGGAGAGGAGAGCGATGAAAGGGGATAGGATGGAGATAGAGGTGTTAAATGATGACGTTGCTAAGAGATGGAATGTACTTGGATCTTCGCGTCGCGCGGTTTCTACGAATTTCTTTAGTTTATTTTATTTTTAAAATATTATTTTAAAAAATTAATTAATATTTCTCTTTTTAGGCACGGTCTTATTTCCAACTATACACAGAGGACGAATAATATTCGTAGAATATTAGTACGATAGAAATCCAACGATTCTCTCGCCTATACGTGATGATAATAAATATACGTGATCTAACGTTTCAATGAAGCGAATTCGGTCAATCGACCGCTAATTAAAATTGCGCTTCGATAAACGGCGTTCGAATAATCGCCTCGTAATCCGAGATATTTTCGATTCGACGAATTGAATCGGGGAAAATCGCAAAGTCGACGAACGTTAAACGAATTATCACGTGTGTCTACTAGTTAGTAACGGAGTGACAGAGTCGGTGGTCGGACATTTTGGGGGCGGCAAACGCGGGAATCGCATGCGTTCGGAGGGAAATTAATGCGGGTTACATTATATCCATACAGGGGGAGGGAGTGGGGAGGGAGGAGATACGGAGAGATTTATATAGGTGCGTAGAGAAGGTCCGCGTAACTAGGCGGTGTAAGCTCGTGTGTGTTGGTACGTCTGCGCAATAATTGGTTTCGGCCAGACAGAGTAACCATCGTGATTAAATTCTGCGAGGTGCAGGTGCAGTGAGTCGCCGCCTTCGACTGCGGTGTTACCGCACCGTTGAGCCGTTATATCGAGAGCACCCGTTATACACCGTTTCAAGTGGCTGGAATTTTAGCGGATTAAGGGCGACATCGCGTCGCGGATCGAAAGTTTTCCCTGTCTAATTTCGAAATCAAAATTGATACCGCTATTTCGAGCAAAGTTTCACTTTTGGTTATAGATCGCTCCGTTTACTTTGGAATCGATTTCGTTTGCTTTCGATTTTCACCACACGTTTCTACGTAATTTTCCGTTAATCGAAAGCATAAGCTTTTTTCCATACTTAAATTGTTCAAGAAGATATGTTTGAAATTTTGAAATCATTGGTTTAAACTTTGCTTAATTAATTTAATTCAAGATACTCGAAGGCTGATATTCGCGAAGAAAAAGATGTCTACGTCGTCATATACATCCGTAACAGTGTGAACAAACACATTAATGCGATTTTTACCGATCTCTCTCTTTCTCCATGGATCCCCGGAGTCCCGGCAGAGGTGGCCCGTGGCATTTTGAAATTTATCAACGATCAGTGTTGGCCCATTAGAGCCGGTGCTCGATTCAGGAGGAGGTTACGATTCCTCGACCGCCTCGTCCATTATACTATCTTCTCGTGTCAATCTCTTAAGTAGCTGGAATGGGCCAGAACCGTTTTACACCGATCCGATACGATCTTGTTTCTCCCACGAACTTGGAATACCAACGCGAGTACGTCGCTTACGTTTTCTTTTCTTTTCCTCTCGCAATCTCAATTATCAATAATATTATATCAAGACACAATCGCCGGGAAAGCAAAATTTCAGTCGATCAGAATTTCAAAGCGACGAGAGTATCCACGATCATCAGAGTATTTCGAATAAATATTATTCGCGAGAGTTCGATTATCTCGAATTACTCCCTCTCGAATTTTGACTCGACGGAAAGAAGTTCAATCGAATTCGCTCAAGAATCGTTCGTGCGAAATTTTAATACACCGAAGAACTCCAATCCCTTTCTCCTCTCCCATTTCAATTC